AGATTTTGAAAACAAAAAACCTTGTTTTCCTCACAGATGATTGTAATCTGATAAAAACTTCTGATATTATTGCCTGATGAAGTTGGCAAAAATATGATCACTCGTCAGCAACAGCAGTGTAAAACACCCCAGTAGTATTTACATTTTACAATTTATTGATGCCAAATTATGATTGTTTTTTAGTTTTTTTCTAATGTCTAACATTAGATGAGTTTCAAGGTGTTGTAGTACTGTATGTGAAATGTGGGGAAATCCACAACCAGACATTGCCCCACTTGGAATGTAGTATAAATTGATGGATTTCTCAGTAGATGGGTATATGAAAGATGAGGGGAACCACAGAACTGATGAGGGATAAAAGGTGGGTGTTGCACTGCGATATCTATGGAGACAAAGAACGTTATCCATAGGGCAAAAAAGGGGGAATGTATGAGAGTATAGTGGTACCAATACTCTTAGATGGGTATGAAGCTCAGGTTGTAAATGCTGTGAGGAGGAAGAGGCTGGGGGCAGTGGAGATGTCAAGTCTGAGGGCAATGTGTGGTGAGGACAGCTGAGGAGGGGTTGTTGAGGTTTGGACATTTAAAGAGGATGGAGCAAAATAAGATGACTTGGAGGGTTTATAAATCTATGATGGAGGGAAGACTAGGTAGGAGTCACCTTAGGAAAGGTTAGAGTGGGGGGTAAAGAAGGTTCAGTGAGCAAGGGGCTTGGACATCTAGTAGGTGTGTATGAGCATATTAGATAGGAGTAAGTGGAGGCTAATGGTTTTCAGGACTTTACGAGCTGTTGGAATGAGCAAGGTAATGCTTTTGGGAAGGGTTTCAGGGAAACTGGTTAGCCAGACTTGAATCCTGGAGGTAGAAAGTATAGTGCCTTTACTGTGAAGGGGATGGGGATATTTGTAGTTTGGAGGGGCATCTGAATTGCAGAATCGGCACAACTCTCACAAGACAGTAATCGAGTGAATGAGGGTGGAAGTGTTTCTTTTTTGGGTCACCATCCCTCAGTGGGAGACAACCGGTGTGATCAAAAGAATTTAGGTTCAAAGGAATATCCTGGACTTTGAAGGAGGGGTGGAGATATATTGCAGTTTTTGAATTACTGGCATGCCTCTGGCAAAACGGTGATGGGGTGAGTGATGGCAAAATTGTTTCTTCTTTTTCAAGTCATGCTGTCTCTGTGGGAAACAACCAGTATTTAAAAAAAAAAAAATGTCCATAACACCTGTTTGCCTTCAAGACCATGGTAAAACATGTTTACGACGAAATCTCATGATATTACAATTGCTTCAAAGTGTAATACTCATTAAAACAAAGAAATAAGCCACAATGCTTGATTTTATTGAGTTATCCCAGGTTAAATCTAAATATGTAGGGGAGACCAGGGCTAGTTGGCACACTTTTCACATTTTCAGTGATGAAAGAAAAACAACAAACGATTTTGGTAATTTTATACTTCCAGTGAAAAATATAAATCTTCCTCTTACTTTTCATGAAATAAAAAAACAATTTTCTTTCGAAACAAAAGCACAGCATTCTTTAGAAAAAACATTTCACGTGTGCCAACATGCCCCATGTATGGGGTAAGTTGGCACACACTATGGGGTAAGTTGACACAGCAAACAGTAATAGTAAATTAGGAATATGTAACAATAAATTTAGATAATGATTATTCATAATGTTTCATTTCAAGAATATTCAGTTCCATAGAAACTTAAAAATATTTTCTTAGTAAAGAAAGAAACCTTTTTGAATAAAATAAAATTAAAAACTGACTAGGTGTTATACATTCAATTGAAAATAATTGCACTTCCAGATAATAATTGCACAGAATACTTAACACCTGAGGTGAACTTAATCTAAATCGTCATCTGAGTCACAGTTGGGGCATGTATAAAACAACTTTTCATCAGTGCAGGCTTCGTGGGACCACAACTTGCACATTCTACACTGTATCCATATTTCTCGTGGTTTGCTTCTGGAAAAAGGACCCATACATACCAAACAGAGACTGTCCTCTTCATCTGAACTTTTCTCGTTGCCATGAACACATTTTGATTTCTTTGATTGCTTCTTCTTTGCTTCTTTTGATATCTTTTCCAGTGTCTTTTTCACTGGCATGTCAGTCAAAATGGCAGAGGAGCGTTTCCTCCTGTTCATTCCACTTCTCTTCCTGGGACCAGCTTTATGCAATGGCCTCAGTTCTTCAGGGGTTGGGGCTTTCTTCCCACAGAGTCCAGAAGTAAAGGGTCTTGGTTCATTCTCATCTTGAAGGTGAGAAACATTCTAAACTGAACAACATTTTGACTGGACTGTTGCGATCAGACTTTGTGGTGTGTCACTGCCGTCTTGAGTTATCACTTAAATTTGTCGCAGGCTGAAACACTTGCGTTTCTTGTTGATCTTCCTGTGGTCTGTCAGTCACGTAAGCACCCAAAAAATCAGAACCCTGGAATATGTCTCTGTTGAAGGGTGAAATCCCAGCAGCCTTAAACCCAACCAAAATATTAGCTGGAGTCACAGTAAGTGGGAAAGCAGTGGACACTACATCTGGAAAGTACAGTGGAACCTCTACTTGCGAGCGTGTCCACGTGCGAGTTTTTCCAAATACGAGCAGTCGATGGGTCGATTTTTTGCTTCCATATGCAAGCAAAATTTCCACAAGCGAGCAGACCTCAAGGCAGGTTCCTTGACATTGGTGAGGGACTCTTGCTCTTGATTTCGGGAATTGTATCTCATTTGTTTGTTGGACTATCTTATTGAAACTTGGGCAATGTATGATGGAAAGATGCTTCTTAAAGCACACCAAAAATGAAAGAAATCTAAGCATAAATAATGGAGTTCACTTCTCAGCAATTAGCCACCCCTTTGCGGTAATTTCGAATGGTTTTTATGGTTGTATTCTCGTTTTTTTGGTCTCATTTGATAGAATGGAGATATATTACAGAAATAGATATGATTTTAAATGCTTTCACAACGAAAAGTACCTTGAAATAGAGCTCAACCTAGGAGAAATGGTCCATTGCTTGGCTGTTTCAGAATGTTTCGTGAATGTTTTCAGAATGTTTCGTGAATGGGTTGACATTATTTATACAATTATTGCAATAAGGAATAACAGTAAATTTTATATTTTTTGTGTGAATAAAAATTACAAATTATTTATATAATAATAATAATAATAATAATAATAATATGTATAATAATAATATGCATAAAAATAATACGCATAGTAATAATAGTATAATAATATAATACAATAATAATACAATACGTATAATAATAATACATATACTGTACATGTACAGTGGACCCCCGGTTAACGATATTTTTTCATTCCAGAAGTATGTTCAGGTGCTAGTACTGACCGAATTTGTTCCCATAAGGAATATTGTGAAGTAGATTAGTCCATTTCAGACCCCCAAACACACGTACAAACGCACTTACATAATTGGTCGCATTGGGAGGTGATCGTTAAGCGGGGGTCCACTGTATAATAATAATGTACTACATATGATAATTATAATAATAGATGGCTTCAAAAGGCCATCACTAGATGGCAGTGTTTACCACAACAAAGAGGGAGCGGTTGTGGCCGCCTCCACCTGTTACATAATGACATATTTTATTCATTCTAGAGTATATGTCATGTTTCTATGTTATTTATATTGTTTGTTATGTCATATTAGATGAACTATGATAGATAAATAAGCCGTATAGATGATATTAGCGAAACTATTCATGAAGTATTTTGCCCGGTCTCCAGACAAACTCTCATCCACCACCGACACTGCCCATACCACTACATGAATGACATATTTTATTCATTTCAGAGTATATATCAGGTTTCTATGTTATTTATATTGTTTATTATATCATAATAGATGAAGTGAGATAGATAAATAAGCCGTAGAGTTGATATTAGCGAAATTATTGAAGTACAGAATTTCACTGGAACAGATTAATTGCATTTAAGTTAATTTAAATGAGGAAAATTGACTCTGCAAACAAGCAAATCCAGTTGCGAGCAAGGTCATGGAACGGATTAAACTCGCAAGTAGAGGTTCCACTGTATATAAATAGTAATGTGGGGCAAGTTGACACTGTGCCAATTTGCCCCATTTTTGTTGAGCCAACTTGCCCCAACCATACCAATGTTCATAAATAAATGATTTTAGTATATATTAATAAACCTAATATAAACTGTTTCATGGGTAAACAATCCTTAAACCCTAAGTTAAATTATGGCTAAATTGGATATTTCTCATCTATAACCCCATACATGTTACAGCAAACAATATAAGCGAATGATAATTTACTTACCGGCATCAAAATCAAATTTTTCCCCACTCCAGTTAAGAACTGCAACCTCTTGGTATGGTAGGTTGTTGGCAAGTGAGGGAGCACGTGGTGATCCTATGATGTAAATAACAATGCCATCTCGCGGTAAATATTTGAATTATTACAAGTGTGTCAACTTACCCCTGTTGCCAACTAGCCCCAGTCTCCCCTAATGTGCTTTTTGGCTGATTTCCACTGTTCAGTGTCATGAAACTTTAAAAAATTTGGATTGAATGTGGCATCTTCCTGCCAGTTCCACACACTATTTTCTGGTAGAAACAACAGCACTTGGTCTTAGATTTTTTCAAAGGTGTGACCAGGCTGTAGAGACCCAAACAGTTGTGCTGAGTCAATAATATTGGCAAGTGGCATATATGAAAGCACAAAAAAATTGTGCATACTAAACTGTTGGACATATGGTCATCATCTGCACATTAGTGTATTGGACACAATTTAAGGGCAAACTCCTCCATGCACAACAAAAACAAAGGGTACCAGAAGCTCAATGCACAAGAATGGATAGTTAATGAAGGCCAGTTTTGACAACCTCAGACAGAAAATACAATAGCAAATAAAGTTTAACTGGGGGTTTGTCACTAACATACTATAAGCCTCTAAGTTTTCTTCAACCTATGTAAACCAAGGGCTACCAACACCAACCTGGCCAAATAAATGTCCTGGATTCAGTGTTGAATTTTTACCAACTGAATGCATGTCCTTGAGGAAAGCTGCTGCAGCGAGTGTCAGTCCCCCACCTTCACGAAGAATAAGGTCAAGAGGTTGCTGAGGACAAAAAAAAAAAAAAAAAAATACTGTCAGAAAGAAAATCAAGCTCTATAATTACACATTAATGAAAATTATTATAGTGGGATATGACTGGTTTGTTGAAAGAGGAAGAAAATTATCATAATGTAAAACATCCATTTGAGACTCAAACTATGGATGTAAAAGTAAGGAAGTGTGTGAGAAGGTTTCATGAGTTAAAATTTTTTGTTTTTACTTTTAAAACACTGGCCATCTTCCATTGTGGTAGGGCAACCAAAAAATGACACTTTCACTGTCATTCACTTTATTGCTGTCTTCCCAGAGGCACACAAATACTACAGTTCAGATGCCCCTCCATATTGCAAATTTCCCTACCTCTCCTTCAGTGTGCAGGAACTGTGCTTCCTAACTCCAGGATTCAAGTCTGACTGATTTCCCTAAATCCTTTCACAAAACGTTAGATTGCTTACACTCCAACAGCTCATCAAGTCCCAAAAACCATTTGCCTTTATTCACTCCAATCTAAAATGCTGACCATGCCTGCTGAAGGTCCAAGCCCCTCACACACAAAACTTCCACCCTCCCTCTCCCTCCAACCTTTCCTAGGGTGACCCCTACACCACTTCCATCCAATACAGATTTATACACCCTTCAGGTCATCCTACTTTGCTGCATCCTTTCTAAATGTCCAAACTCCCAAAACAACCCTTTCTCAACCCTCTGGATGATATTTTTATTAACTCCACACCTCCTCCTAATCTGCAAACTTTGAATTCTATGCACACAACCTGGAACAGATAACAGACACATTCATACACACAAAACAGATACAAATACACACGTACCAGACAGACATGCACAAACATAATATAACATGGCATTTGATATCAAATTTAAAAAATTTGCACATTATTTTGTTTTAACATGGCAGCCGTCTCCCACCAAGGCAGGTGATCAAAAAAAGAATCGCTTTCACCATCATTTACACATAATCACTGACTTTGCAGAGACACCCAGATGCAACAGTTCAAATGTCACTCCAAACAGCCAGTATCCCAAACCCCTCCTTTAAAGTGCAGGTACTGTACTTCCCACCTTCAGGATTCAAGCCCAGTTAACCAGTTTCCCTGAATCCCTTCATAAAATATTACCCTGCTCACATTCCAACAGATCATCAAGTCCCAAAAACCATTCATATCCATTCACTCCTATCTAACATGCTCATACATGCCTGCTGTATGTTCAAGCCTCTTGCACACAAAACCTCTTTCACCCCCTCCCTCTATTTTTTTCTTGGATGACCCCTATCCCTCCTCCCCTCCACTACAAATTTATACACCCTTCAAGCCATCCTATTTAGCTCCATCCTCCCTAAATGACCAAACTATCTCAACAACCTCTCCTCAGCCCTCTGAATACTTTTAGTAACTCCACACCTCCTCCAATTTTCCAAACTATAAATTCTCTGCATAATATTTACACCACACATTGCCCTTAGACATGACATCTCCACTGCCTCCAGCCTCCTCCTTGCTGCAGCATTTACAACCCATGCTTCACACCTATATAAGAGTGTTGGTATCATTATACTCTCATTCATTCCTTTCTTTGCCTCCATAGATAATGTTCTTTGTCTCCACAGATACCTCAATGCACCACCCACCCTTTTTCCTCCAACAATTCTATGGTGTACCTTGTCCTTTCATAAACCTATCTGCTGACAAGTCGACTCCCAAATATCTGAACACATTCACTTCTTCCATACTCCCTCCCTCCAATGCGATATCCAATTTTTCTTTACCTAATTTGTTTAATACCCCTCATCACATTACTCCTTTCACACACCTTCCAAAACTCGTCCACCAACCTTCGCAACTTTATCTTAGCAAAAAAGAGCAAGTGGTGGCTTATATGACTGGAAGGTCTCAACAACAAAATCAAACACAGTAATAGTAGCATAACTTACCAACTCGACATCATCATCATCATTATCATTTCCTTGAATATTGTCTTTTTGTTTATTCTGGACATGACCATTTTGTGCCATGTACTTGTTTGGCTGGATTTCTCCATTGCCTTTGCCTTCAACATAAAGCTCTGGTGACTTAAGGCATCCAGGAAGATACATGTGCTGACCACTCTGGCACTGAACATCAAGCAACTGTGTAAGGAAATGTGTCTGCGAGAGGGACTGCATTACAGAGTTGAAGAAACACGTGTTTCCTAAGTTGCATAAACCCTGAAAAAGTTAAACTTCATTAATTTACAAATAAATGAAATCAAATATATCTGCAGCAGCAAGACAATAAAATTGAAAAAATTACTACGAAAAATAATGCTCTTTGCAGATGCATGAAATATAATGAAACTTTGCACTGATTACCTTTACTTTCGGTAAAGATGCAAGAACACTGGCCTGCACATTACGCTGGTTCTTAGCTGCTTTAGAGTTGTCATCAAAGGTGGTCACAGAACCTTTGGCAGTGTTATGTGAACCAGACTCTGGTCTACATAAATATGATGAATCTGCATGATGAAACAGTAGATATTATTAAAACTGTGAACAATTAAAAATTGCTGAGTATTAAAAATAAAAATATGAGTGCACCAAATAATAAAAAATTGGACCATGTCAGTAATCTGTATGTTGCTCCTAAGCATAATGTCCATCAACAACTTGTGTTATGCAGTCATATGTGATGACCCTATTTCTACCAGCAAGTCATTATCTTTCTTTCTTCTTTCAACAAACTGGCCACATCCCACCGAGGCAGGGTGACCCAAAAAGAAAAATGAAAGTTTTTCTTTTTAAATTTAGTAATTTATACAAAAATGGTTACTAGCTCCTTGCTCTGGCATTTTAGTTGCCTCTTACAACACACATGGCTTACGGAGGAAGAATTCTGTTGCACTTCCCCATGGAGATAAGAGAAAATAAAGAACAACTATTAACCCTATGAGGGTCCGTCCCATAGTTCTAAGGCTTTGAAGCCAAGGTCCAAGCCGTAGTTCTAAGCCATAAGCTTAGCTCACTCAGATAAGCTGTGAGCAGTAAATTTGGGTCTAATATGAGAGAATACATATAAGTGGTAAGTGTATACCACATAAAACAAATCCTGCAGCACACAGTGTACAATGAGAAAAAAATGCAACTGTATTTTTTTATTGAAACAGCGGCTTTGAGGTATATTGTCATATGTTTTTTGCAGTTGTATTCGCGGTTTCTTGGTCTCATTTGACAGAATGGAAGATATATTACAGAAATAAAGATGATTTTGACTGAAAATGGCTTGAAACTGAGCTCAAAATACAGGAAATGTTAGATTTTTGCTGATGTTCAAGAGTAAACAAATGATGTCACACGTCCAATACATGTCAGCTGGTGGGTCTAATGTGGGTTCACAAATGCGCTGATATTATTTAAACAATTATTACAATATTACATAACAGTAAATCTTCTATTTTTTGGTGCGAATAAAAATTTATTATGTGAATAAAAAATCAAAATGGAATTAATTTGTAAAGCCTGCAAATGTAACTAATAAACAGAGGAAATGTTATTTTAGTGCCAGGAATGCCTGCATTGTTTATTCTGAACCCTATTTTGATACTGGAATATTTTGAACTTCATGTGAAATTGGCTAAATTACCAATTTCTGATCACTTTATTGGTAGCTGAAACAAATGACTGGGTGATTTCTTATGCTCAATGGATAATATAGAAGTATGCAATACTAGTGGAATAGCTAAGAATTTGGTCAAATTGAATAATGTAATTGGCCTAAAATGGGGGTCAAAGTGGGCAAAATCGCTGATGTGTAAATATCACTGATGCAGCAAAATTCTAGAGAGTGTAATTTTGTCAGTGTCAATTTTCCATCAAATTTCATACTTTCTGTTTTATTACCTTTAGAAAAAGATTATCTACCATTTCTTTCTTTCTTTCAACACACCGGCCGTATCCCACCAAGGCGGGGTGGCCCAAAAGGAAAAACAAAAGTGTCTCCTTTTACATTTAGTAATATATATAGGAGAAGCGGTTACTAGCCCCTTGCTCACGGCATTTTAGTCGCCTCTTACAACAAGCATGGCTTACGGAGGAAGAATTCTGTTCCACTTCCCCTTGGAGGTAAGAGGAAATAAACAAGAATAAGAACTAGAAAGAAAATAGGAGAAAACCCAGAGGGGTGTGTATATATATGATTGTACATGTATGTGTAGTGTGACCTAAGTGTAAGTAGAAGTAGCAAGACGTACCAGTAATCTTGCATGTTTATGAGACAGAAAAAAAGGACACCAGCAATCCTACCATCATGTAAAACAATTACAGGCTTTCATTTTACACTCACTTGGCAGGACGGTAGTACCTCCCTGGGCGGTTGCTGTCTACCAACCTACTACCTAGGTTTACCATTTCATAAGAAAAAAGAAAAAAAAATTTCTTTGAAAATTCTTGGACCCTGTGGACAAGTTTCAGATTGGGGGTCTGAACCCTGAAAGGGTTAAGAAAATAGAAGAAAGCCCACATGGGTGCATAAATATGTGTGTACATGCATGTGTAGTGTGACCTAAGTGTAAGTAGAAGTTGCAAGATGTACCCGTTATCCCACTTGTTTGTGACAGAAAAAGGACACCGCAATCCTACCTTTGTGTAAACAAATTACAGGTTTCCATTTCATACTCACTTGGCAGGACAGTAGTACCTTCCTGATTGGTTGCTGTCTACCAACCTACTACAATAATTCATTAAATGAAGTATAAATTTGCTCTTACATGATTATTCAAGCCCAGCATCACTTGATTTTTAACCCTTTGACTGTTGCAACCCCCAATCCTGAGGTGTCTCCTGGTGTCGCAAAATTTAAAAAAAAAAAAAAAAATTTCTTATGAAATGATAGACAATCTTTTCCCGATTGTAATGACACAAAAAAAAAACGAAATTTGATGGAAAACTGACGGAATTATGCTCTCGCGAAGTTAGCGACCTCGGCGCTGTTTACAAATCGTCGATTTCGCCCACTTTGAGCCCTATTTTCGGCTAATTCTATTTTTCCAGTTGCCAAAACTCATAGCTATTTCTTTAGAACTCCATTTTTTCTATCGATTGAGTACAAGAAACTGCCCATTTACCGATTTCAACTACCTAATAATGTGGTCAGAAATTTGCAATTTGGCCAATTTCACGAAAACTAAAAAATATGGCAATTTCAAAATAAGGTCCAGAATGAACAATGCAGACATTCCTGGCTCTAAAATAACATTTTCTTTGCTCATCAGTCATGTCTCCAGGCCCCTCTGATATTACTCTTGCTTTCTATTTTGAATTTTTATTCAAACAAAAAATAGAAAACTTACTATTATGCAGACTATTGCAATACTGTAATAATTGTATAAATAACATCAACCCATTCATGACTGCATATTAGAATGGCTAGTTGGACATTTATTGGACAATGGCATCATTTGTTTACTTTTGAACATTGGCAAAAATTAAACATTTCCCCTAATTTGAGCTCCATTTCTAGGTTCTTTTTACAGTAAAATCAATCAAAATCACCTCTATTTCTATAATATGTTTTCCATTCTATCAAATGAGACCAAGAAAACGAAAATACAACGATAAATACTATACGAAAATAGACCACAAAGTCGGCACTTTAATTAAAAAAAACGGTCGGAGTTTTTTTTTTCTCATTATGCACTGCGTGCTCCAGGATTTTTTTTATATGGTGCACACTGACCACACAGACCCATTCTCTCACATGTGGGCCTACCAGCTTTCTCCTGCTTGATTTGAAGCCGCTAGAATTTATGAGTATATATACGTCAAACACGGTACCTCGTAAGACGTATATATACGGCCGTGACAGTCAAAGGGTTAAACAATATTTGTTTAACCCTTTGACTTTTTCAGTCATATACATACGTCTTACGAGCCAATGTGTTTGACATATATACTCAAAAATTCTAGCGGCTTCTAATCAAGCGGGAGAAAGCTGGTAGGCCCACATATGAGAGAATGGGTCTGTGTGGTCAGTGTGCGCAGTATAAAAAAAATCCTGCAGCAAGCAGTGCATAATGGGGAAGAAAAAAAAACTCCGACCGTGTTTCTGGAATAAAACGCCGAATTTGAGGTGTATTTTCGCATAGTTTTTATGGTTATATTCTCATTTTCATAGTCACATTTGATAGAATGGAAAACATATTATAGAAATGGAGGTGATTTTGATTGGTTTTACTGTGAAAAGGACCTTGAAATGGAGCTTAAAGTAGGAGAAATGCTCGATTTTTGCTGATGTTCAAGAGTAAACAAATTGTCCAATAATTGTCCAACTAGCCATTCTAATATGCAGTCATGAATGGGTTGATATTATTTATACAATTATTACAATATTGCAGTAGTCTGCATAACAGTAAATCTTCTATTTTTTGTTTGAATAAAAATTCAAAATAGAAAGCAAGAGTAATATCAGAGGAGCCTGGAGACATGACTGATGAACAAAGAAAATGTTATTTTAGAGCCAGGGATGTTTGTATCGTTCATTTGCATGAAAGTGGCTAAACTGCCAATTTCTGACCACTTTATTGGGTAGTTGAAATCGGTAAATGGGCAGTTTCTTGTACTCAATCGATAGAACAAATGGAGTTCTAAAGAAATAGCTGTGAGTTAGGTCAACTGGAACAATGGAATTAGCCAAAAATAGGGCTCAAAGTGGGTGAAATTGCCGATTCGTAAATATTGCCTAGGTCGCTAACTTCACGCGAGCAAAATTCCCTAAGTTTTCCATCAAATTTCGTACTTTTGGTGTCATACCATTGGGAAAACTCTCTCTATCACCTCTGGAGAGAGAGGAAAACAGGCTGGGTGTATACACAATACACAAATAACATAGGAGACTGAAATTTATGACAATTTTGGCTACCATTAAGTAAGAAAGAAGAGGTGCCAAAGTGATACCAGAAATATGTTCTTCACAAACAATGGTAAAACAATAGAATAAATTACATGAATTACAAGAGAATGTAATAAATGTTATTTCTACTGGAAACTTTTAAAAATTATATGATAAAGTAAATACTGATCATGGGACAACACAGGCTAACTCTGTTCCTTTTGCTACAAATAGGTACCAAAACTACACACAGGTGATTACAAGCTGAGGCATGCGAACACCTAGCAATAAATATAATTATGGGCAGTTTAATATGCTGTAAGTTAGAATTAAAACTACATATACCTCAGGTAAACCAATATTGAACGAGCAGTAGACACTGATATTAAAATGTGACAAATTAACCAGGAAACTTTCTCATTACATCAGTTCAACAAAAAAACAAACATCAATGAGAAATTTTCCTGAGAGAAAAATGCAAATGATGAAGTTCTTTTTTAATACAGTGGCAATCTCCCACCGAGATAGGATAACCTGACAATGAAGAAAACTCATTCGCAATTATTCATTTGATCATTGCATTGCCAGAAGCGCACTGACATCACAGTTCAGATTTCCTTCCAAATTGCAACATCTCTACCCTTCCTCTAGAATGCAGGCATGTACGTCCCACCTTCAGGACTCAAGTCCGGCTAACCAGTTTCCTCAAATCCCCTCATAATTGTTACCCTGCTCACACTCCGACAGCACGTCAAGTCATAAGAACCACTTGCCTCCACTCACCCCTCTCTAACATGCTTGCACATGCCTGCTGGATGTATGTCCAAGCCCCTTGCATACACAACCTCCTTTATTCCCTCCCTCCAACCTTTCCTAGGTTGACCTGTACTTCTTCTCTTCATTACAAATTTATGAAATCTCCAAGTTATCCTATTCCCAAATCATCTCAATAACTCTTTCTCAGCCCTCTGGATAATACTTTTAGTAATGCTGCACTTCCTTCTAATCTCCAAACTATCAATTTTCTGCATAATATTCACACCATGCATTTCCCTCAGACAAATCTCCATTGCCTCCAGCCTCCTCCTTCTTGCTGAAACATTTAAAAACCCATGCTTCACATGCATAAAAGTGTAGGGGTTAGGGGAGTTTCGGGGGGGGGAAATAAATGGGATTAAATCTGGAGTATCTGAGAGAGTTAGAGCAAAGGAAGGGGTAGCAGTAATGTTGAATGATCAGTTATGGAAGGAGAAAAGAGAATATGAATGTGTAAATTCAAGAATTATGTGGATTAAAGTAAAGGTTGGATGCGAGAAGTGGGTCATAATAAGCGTGTATGCACCTGGAGAAGAGAGGAATGCAGAGGAGAGAGATTTTGGGAGATGTTAAGTGAATGTATAGGAGCTTTTGAACCAAGTGAGAGTGTAGTTGTGGTAGGGGATCTGAATGCTAAAGTAGGAGAAACTTTTAGAGAGGGTGTGGTAGGTAAGTTTGGGGTGCCAGGTGTAAATGATAATGGGAGCCCTTTGATTGAACTTTGTATAGAAAGGGGTTAGTTATAGGTAATACATATTTTAAGAAAAAGAGGATAAATAAGTATACAAGATATGATGTAGGGCGAAATGACAGTATTTGTTGGATATGTATTGGTAGATAAAAGACTGTTGAGTAGACTTCAGGATGTACATGTTTATAGAGGGGCCACAGATATATCAGATCACTTTCTAGTTGTAGCTACACTGAGAGTAAAAGGTAGATGGGATACAAGGAGAATAGAAGCATCAGGGAAGAGAGAGGTGAAGGTTTATAAACTAAAAGAGGAGGCAGTTAGGGAAAGATATAAACAGCTATTGGAGGATAGATGGGCTAATGAGAGCATAGGCAATGGGGTCGAAGAGGTATGGGGTAGGTTTAAAAATGTAGTGTTAGAGTGTTCAGCAGAAGTTTGTGGTTACAGGAAAGTGGGTGCGGGAGGGAAGAGGAGCGATTGGTGCAATGATGATGTAAAGAGAGTAGTAAGGAGAAAAAGTTAGCATATGGGAAGTTTTTACAAAGTAGAAGTGATGCAAGGAGGAAGAGTATATGGAGAAAAATAGAGAGGTTAAGAGAGTGGGTGAAGCAATGTAAAAAGAGAGCAAATGAGAGAGTGGGTGAGATGTTATCAACAAATTTTGTTGAAAATAAGAAAAAGTTTTGGAGTGAGATTAACAAGTTAAGGAAGCCTAGAGAACAAATGGATTTGTCAGTTAAAAATAGGAGAGGAGAGTTATTAAATGGAGAGTTAGAGGTATTGGGAAGATGGAGGGAATATTTTGAGGAATTGTTAAATGTTGATGAAGATAGGGAAGCTGTGATTTCGTGTATAGGGCAAGGAGGAATAACATCTTAAAGGGAGTGAGGAAGAGCCAGTTGTGAGTGTGGGGGAAGTTCGTGAGGCAGTAGGTAAAATGAAAGGGGGTAAGGCAGCCGGGATTTATGGGATAAAGATAGAAAAGTTAAAAGCAGGTGGGGATATAGTTTTGGAGTGGTTGGTGCAATTATTTAATAAATGTATGGAAGAGGGTAAGGTACCTAGGGATTGGCAGAGAGCATGCATAGTTCCTTTGTATAAAGGCAAAGGGGACAAAAGAGAGTGCAAAAATTATAGGGGATAAGTCTGTTGAGTATACCTGGTAAAGTGCATGGTAGAGTTATTATTGAAAGAATTAAAAGTAAGACGGAGAATAGGATAGCATATGAACAAGGAGGCTTTAGGAAAGGTAGGGTGTGTGGACCAGGTGTTTACAGTGAAACATATAAGTGAACAGTATTTAGATAAGGCTAAAGAGGTCTTTGTGGCATTTTTGGATTTGGAAAAGGCGTTATGACAGGGTGGATAGGGGGGCAATGTGGCAGATGTTGCAGGTGTATGGTGTAGGAGGTGGGTTTAAACTGAAAGCAGTGAAGAGTTTTTACGAGGATAGTGAGGCTCAAGTTAGAGTACATAGGAAAGAGGAAATTATTTCCCAGTAAAAGTAGGCCTTAGACAAGGATGTGTGATGTCACCGTGGTTGTTTAATATATTTATAGATGGGGTTGTAAGAGAAGTAAATGCGAGGGTCTTGACAAGAGGCATGGAGTTAAAAGATAAAGAATCACACATAAAGTGGGAGTTGTCACAGTTGCTCTTTACTGATGACACTGTGCTCTTGGGAGATTCTGAAGAGAAGTTGCAGAGATTGGTGGATGAATTTGGTAGGGTGTGTGCAAAAGAAGAAAATTAAAAGTGAATACAGGAAAGAGTAAGGTTATGAGGATAACAAAAATATTAGGTGATGAAAGATTGGATATCAGATTGGAGGGAGAGAGTATGGAGGAGGTGAATGTATTCAGATATTTGGGAGTGAACGTGTCAGCGGATGGGTCTATGAAAGATGAGGTGAATCATAGAATTGATGAGGGGAAAAGGGTGAGTGGTGCACTTAGGAGTCTGTGGAGACAAAGAACTTTGTCCTTGGAGGCAAAGAGGGGAATGTATGAGAGTATAGTTTTACCAACACTCTTATATGGGTGTGAAGCATGGGTGATGAATGTTGCAGCAAGGAGAAGGCTGGAGGCAGTGGAGATGTCATGTCTGAGGGCAATGTGTGGTGTGAATATAATGCAGAGAATTCGTAGTTTGGAAGTTAGGAGGAGGTGCGGGATTACCAAAACTGTTGTCCAGAGGGCTGAGGAAGGGTTGTAGAGGTGGTTCTGACATGTAGAGAGAATGGAGCGAAACAGAATGACTTCAAGAGTGTATCAGTCTGTAGTGGAAGGAAGGCGGGGAGGGGTCGGCCTAGGAAAGGTTGGAGGGAGGGGGTAAAGGAGGTTTTGTGTGCGAGGGGCTTGGACTTCCAGCAGGCGTGCGTGGGTGTGTTTGATAGGAGTGAATGGAGACGAATGGTTTTTAATACTTGACGTGCTGTTGGAGTGTGAGCAAAGTAACATTTATGAAGGGGTTCAGGGAAACCGGCAGGCCGGACTTGAGTCCTGGAGATGGGAAGTACAGTGCCTGCACTCTGAAGGAGGGGTGTTAATGTTGCAGTTTAAAAACTGTAGTGTAAAGCACCCTTCTGGCAAGACAGTGATGGAGTGAATGATGGTGAAAGTTTTTCTTTTTCGGGCCACCCTGCCTTGGTGGGAATCGGCCAGTGTGATAATAATAAAAAAAAAAATAAATAAAAAAAAAAAAAAAAAAACATGCTCTCATACAGTCCTGTTTTTGCCTCCATAAATAAAGTTCTTGGTCTCCATGGATGCCTCAGTGCACCACCCATTGTTTTTTTTACCCCTCGTCACCTCATCTTTTGTAGACCTGTTCGCCAACAAGTCTATCTCCAAATACCTGAATATGCAGTGGACCCCCGGTTAACGATATTTTTTCATTCTAGAAGTATGTTCAGGTGCCAGTACTGACCGAATTTGTTCCCATAAGGAATATTGTGAAGTAGGTTAGTCCATTTCAGACCCCCAAACATACACGTACAAACTCACTTACATAATTGGTCGCATTGGGAGGTGATCGTTAAGTGGGGGTCCACTATATTTACTTCAAACATACTCCAATATTATATCCAATCTTTCATTATCAAAATTATTTTGTTACCCTCATCACTTTGATTATTCATATGTTCACTTTTAATTTCCTCCATTTACATATCTTTCCAAATTCGTCCACCTACCTCTGCCACTTCCCTTCAGAATCTCCCAAAAGCACATGTTATTGATAAGAAACAACTGTGACAACTTCCACTTTGTATTAGTTTCTTTATCTTTTAATCCCACACCTCTGCCCAACACTCTAGCATTCACTTTTTTTACAACCCCATCTATAAATATGTTAAACAGCCACGGTGACATCTCACATCCCTGTTTAAGACCTATTTTTGATGGAAAATAATTTCTCTCTCTCCTACATATCCTAACCTGGGCTTCATAAAAACTCTTGACTGCTGTCAGTAATCTATTTTTTAATACACTGGCCATTTCCCACTAAGGCAGGGTGACCCGAAAAAGAAGAAAACACTTTCACCATCACACTCCATCACTGTCTTCTCAGAGGCATGGCAATACTACAGTTCAAAACTGCTACTACTCACCATATGAGTAGTAGCAGTTTTACTCCTACTCACATGGTGAGTGACATGCATCATTCTAACCACCCACAATGTTAACTGAGGTATGCCTGCACTTGATATATAACATGCAATAATTACAAACATATGCCACTTACTAACAACAGATTGTTGTGGCGTTGAGCGCTGCGGTGCCATATCTTTTTGTCTCTTTAAGTATTCTACAATATCATGAAGCTTCTTTGTACTAGTTTGGTGAACCTCTGAGTCACACTCGTAACACCTGCAAAAATATTGAAGCCAAGCCTAATGCAACAGTACTTGACAATAATACAGAACTCTAATGTACTACAGGCATAATCAAGTACAACAAGTTAAAATATTCACACCAATCTTATTTAACCCTTTGAGGGTCCGTCCTGTAGATCTACGGCTTTACGTTCAGGGTCCAAACCGTAGATCTACGTCATGAGCTCAGCTCACTCTGATAAACTGTGAGTGGTACATTTGGGCCTAGATATGAGAGAATACATCTATGTGGTATGTGTGCACCACATAAAACAGATCCTGCAGCACGCTGTGTATAATGAGAGAAAAAAACTGAAATCATGATTTTTCTATTATAACAGCGACTTTGCAGTGTTTTTTCATATGTTTTTTATAGTTCTATTTGCGATTTCTTGGTCTCATTTGATAGAATGGAAGACATATTACAGAAATAGAGATGATTTTGATTGGTTTTCATACTGGAAATGGCTTGAAACTGAGCTCAAAGTAGCAGAAATGTTAAATTTTTGCCGATATTCAAGAGTAAACAAACAACCTCACACATCTAATACACACCAGTTGGTGGGTCTAATATACATTCACAAATATGGTGATGATATTTATACAATTATTACAGTATTGCATAACAGTAAATCTTCTATTTTTTTGGTGTGAATAAAAATTCATTATGTGAATAAAAAATCAAAATGGAATTTATTTGTAAAGCCTCAAAACGTAACTAATGAACAGAGGAAATGTTAGTTTAGTTCCAGGAATACCTACATTGTTTATTCTGGACCCTATTTTGAAATTGGAATATTTTGAACTTTGTGTTAAATTGGCCAAATTAACAATTTCCGATCACTTTAATTTGTAGTTGAAACAGTTGACTTGATTTCTTGTGCTCAATCGATAGAATAGAAGTAATACTAGTGAAATAGCTAAGAATTTGGTTAACTGGAATAATGTAATTGGCCTAAAATGGGAGTCAAAGTCGGCAAAATCGCTGATTCGTAAATATCGCTGACACATCAAAATTCGCGAGAGCATAATTTCGTCAATTTTCCATCAAATTTCGTACTTTTTGTTTTATTACCTTCACAAAAAGATTCTCTACCATTTCATAAGAAAAAATAATAAATTTTTTTTTTGAAAATTCTTGGACACTGGGGCACCACTTCAGATTTGGGCCTTGGACCCTGAAGGGGTTAAATTAGCTGTTTATATAACCACTGCACTACATTTTCTGCAGCTCATGGAAAATACACTGTATTATGAAAAATTACAATATATTAAAAGGGTTCCATTTCATGGTATCTGTTTCCAAAGACAAATGATGTACTTCTTTATTAACTCATGAAATCGTAGTGACACAATTACAAACAAACCATACCATGGGTGGGGCTTGAACAGCGGGTTCAAGCCCCACCTGTGGTATGATTTGCTTATGTACTTCTTTCTTAAACAAAATTTAGAAAATTAATAGTAGAGGACGAAACAGACAATTTATACCTATGGTTGGATGAGTTATGGCCATTAAAAAGGAAGAATGGATTTAAGTTATTACAGGAGAAATATAACAAATGGAACATTTAGATGTCACTCCAAGCAGCAAATATCCCCCCCCCAAAAAAAAGTGACATCTAAACTGTCATATCTGGGTACATCTGCAAAGACAGGGATTATGTGTGAATGATGGTGAAACGTTGAATAATGGTGAAAGTGTTTCTTTCTTTTTTGGGTCACCCTGTTTTGGCGGGAGATGGCTGGCATGTTGAAGGAAAAAAATGCCACATTTTGCCTGCACCAGTACAGTACTTTAAGATGTTCTTGAGTAAACATACAGTATAAAACAGTATAAAAAAAATCCTGCAGCACACAGTGCGTAATGAAAAAAAAAAAAAAAACTTTGATCATGTTTTTGGTTTAACCCTTTCAGGGTCCAAAGGCAAAACTGGAAGGGGTGCCCCAGTGTCCAAGAAATTAAAAAAAAAAAAAAAAAAAAAAAAAAAAAAAAAAAAAAAAAAAAAAAAAAAAAAAAAAAAAAAAAAAAAAAAAAAAAAAAAATCTTAAAGAATTAAAGAGTATATTTTTGTGAAAGTAATAAAACAAAACAAAAAATTCTGATCAGTACTTACCAAGATACAGAGGCGAGAAGTTGACCCAAAATGACCGGGTGGTGGCAACATCGGCGATTTCCACAAACTGGCATTTCTTTATTTTATGTTTTTTATACTTTTTTCTTTTCATTTCTAATTTTTTTCATTTTCTAGTAACATTTGTGGACTGTGAGACCAATACTGTACATAGTGTATATATATACACTCACTGTATTGAACACAATAATCATACTAAAGTTATTATAATATTGTTTACCACTTTTGTTTATTACAATAAACATGCACAAATCTTGTATAATACTAATGTTCTATTATATATTTACATATGTACAATCACTGGACATGTTTTTAGAACTGCTGGAGCTTGTGGAACTCCTTGAAACAAGGCACCATACACAGGGGTACCTCACATTCCTCGCACATAAACCGAGTGTCTTTGCGTCTTTATTGCCGTCGTTTTGTTTGTGCACAGACAACACATCTCTTTTGAGCAAATTTTTTCTTAGTTGCAGAAAGCTGTATTATGAAGTGATCACCTTCCCTCCTCAAACACTTGGGTACTTCCTGAGGAGCTCGAGGACGGTTTTGTATAGTAGGTGTTGTTGCAAGAGACAAACAAAATTCACCATACAGTGGTCTGTTGCCAGTCTTCGTTTGGTACATATTATATGCATTAAGCATTGAAATGTCCATGAGATGGAAGAAAAGTTTCATGAACCACTTGTAACTCTTACTAACACAATCAACAAAGCCAACCTGCATGTCGCACTTGTCAACCAAGCACATGTTTTGTGTATAATCAATCACTGTCACTGGTTTTCGAATACGTTCATTAGTCACTCCATCAATTTTAGCACTGTCTTACATTTCGTTACGGTGAATGGTTGTCAACAATGTGACATCTCGTTTGTCATGCCACCATAATGCCATGATGTCAATGGCAGTAAACACCTGCACCTCATCACCATGAGTGCCTGCATTGAACCTGGGCATATCTTTACGATTAGAACCCACTGTGCCACACACATCTGTCTTGTTCACTCACATGAAATCACTGAGTAATGGGCTTGTGTACCAGTTATCGGTATATAATGTATGCCCCTTACCAAGATAAGGTGCCATCATGTTTCTCACTACGTCACCTGAGATACCCAATGACATCTTGGTATCTTTCAATGTTTTACTACCCGTGTATACAACAATATCCAACACCAGGCCACTGTCACAATCACAGAGTACAAATAGTTTTATACCAAAGCGTTTCCTCTTGCTCGGTATGTACTGCTTGAATGACAGTCTACCTTTGAACAAAATCAAAGACTCGTCAATTACAAGATTCTTGAATGGATAAAAGTATATGCTGAACTTTTGTTTGAGATACATGAAAACATTTCTAATCTTGTATAACCTGCCACTTCTGTCAGGCCTGGTCTTGTCAGAGAAGTGCAACATACATAACAGTAAGATAAACCTGTTCACTGGGATGATTTCACTGAAGGCCGGGGTACAAATTAGCCTATCTGTGGACCAGTATTTTATATTATGCTTATAGACATGAGGCATAAGCATTTGTTGCAAAAAGCAAATACATTTCTGCAACAGTTGTCTCTTTCCACCAGTGTAGTCTTGACTGTGGTGATATTATCGTATCTGCCATGGTGTACTCAAAATACTTGTTACTTTCCCTGACAATAGTTTCCATCAAGGGCTGGTCAAAGAATAGTTCAAAGAACTCCAGTTCATTTGCAGTGTTTCCAAGGGGACAAGTAGGTAGAATTCCACTTTGAGAGTCATCAAAGTGGTGGGGCTTGGGAACAAAATTGGGATTTTGCTGCCAATCCCAGATACAGTTTGCTGGTGCATACTGGACATCATAAGCTGGTTGTGCTGGTAGTTGTGGTTGTGGTGGGCTGGTGGCTGATGCTCCGCTTTGTCCTTGAGCTGAGGAGTCAGCGGCGTGGGTCCCAGCCTGGGCTGGAGAGTTATGCATGGCCGTGGCACTACCATGACCACTACCACCACCTACTGATGCCTGTGGTCTATCCATGCCAAGTGTAGCCACATCATCCTCACTTTCACTGTCTATTCCTGGTGTAGGGCCAAAGGATGTACTCCGGGATGTACTCCATCCCCTGGGCACTGCATAGGGAACACTACCCGAGCGCATGCGGCGGCGTATACACCTACCATCCGACTTACGACCGAGTTCGGTTCCGAGAAACCGGTCGTAAGTTGAAATGGTCGTAAGTCGAACTTTACTCCTGAATATCAACAAAACATTTTTGTAATGACTTTATTTTATTGTTTTATTTTGGTATTTCATGTTTTACTTTACTTTTTATGTTGTTAGCACTGTATTTTATACTGTAAGGTTTAGGATAAACACTGTGTACAACACAAATAGTTGTTTATTTCCCAGAAATTTGGCATAAAAAACAAGGTCGTAAGTCGAGTGATCGTAAGTCAAGCAGGTCGTAAGTCGGATGGTAGGTGTATACCAACACTTCACTGGTGAATATGTTTCCTCACTATCGATACTCGAATGATTGTCAAGAGCAATAAAATCACAATCCACGTCACTATCACTATCATTACTGAAGTCAGAGGCCTGGCCATGCGAAAATATTAGTTTTCTCTTGTGATGAGGTACGACTGAACGTGACCGAGATGTGCCCACACCAGAGGTAGAAGGTTGAGGATCGTCAGGATTTTCTGCACTATTATCGATATCCTGGTCATTCCTTTCGGTCACTAACTGATCAAAGCCACAGAATTCGTCTTCATTTCCACTTCCATCAGAGTCAGAACTATCAGATAAGAAGAGGAGAGTCCCAATTTTCCTTGGAGTGAGAGATTCCTTGCGATAAGGCATGGTGAACAAATTAACTGAGCTGGC